GCTAGCCTATTCGTGTCGAAGCATGGCTCTCCCACATTTAAAAGAGTGAATGGTGAGAGAGACCTTCGGTGAAGTGGACCCATTTATAAAACTTACAAACATCAAACTGTTGAGTTAAATGTTAGAATACTTATGGCAAATCCTATGCTAATGATACACCTCAGCGGTGCATTTGACAAAATCAGGTCAGGTCCTCAACTGTTACTCCAACGAAGTAAGTAACTCTGATCCTACATAAATCCTTGAAAAAAACAAATTATCATCGTCTCACTAGGATATATTATAACAAATTGCTCACTTACATTACGGCAGATTCGGTTACGAGCGTACGAGCCCTAATGTGTCCTTTCTTTGCAAATAAAAGGATCATACGCACATTGGCCGGATAGCGAGGTATCAGATCCTACAGCTCTGACGTCATTAATCACAAAAACTGCGCTTTAATGGATGACGAGCGAGTAAATGCGATCTGGCAGAGACGCGACGAGCTCCAACTAAATTGAATGCTCCCTCAAATATGGCTGAGTCGTCTCGTTTACGTGTCGTATGTGTGAGATTGAATTAATGTGAGATTCTCGGTTAAACGTTAGAATATTATGATTAGGTTCTTGGTTTCTTTTAGATGGAAATGATTTTAATAGAAATATTACTTAGTTTGGAATTGCCGAGGGGTTGATGGAGATAGTATACCTAGATGAGATTGGAAAGGTCTTGCTCCTATATGCAAGTGTTATCATGACCATTATCAACAAGAAGACGTCAATTGCGGCGGGGCGGCGGCGGTGGCGGCGGCGCGGTTGGCACTGCATGACTAGAGTGCACCGCTCGTTGCCCACCGCAACGCCGCTGTGTTTTCGAGAACCAGTCCATTTGATTTTACGCATAAGATCCTGCCGCTCCCGCGCCGCCGCCGCCGCCGCCGCCGCCCCACTGCCCGCAAAATTCGAGGCAGCGGCCCTAAGTGATTATTGCCCGAATACTGAAAGGCTACTGAATTTTAAGTTGTACTTAAATATCGTGCCATCTCTGTCATTTTACAAAGAATATGTAGTGTATACAAACGTTACTTAACATTGAGTGACGTTTGAGTATTTCAGCGTAAGTGTGCCACTAACTAATGGTGTAAGATGCACTGTAGGAATATTAGCACAACTTTCAAAGAACAAAATCTACTTATAATAGATCTAATGCTAAAGCTTCATGTGTCTTTCTAATTTATAGGTACACCTACTTACCTACCTAATGGCAGATAGCTGATTCTTATCGAAAACAAAATACCTATATCATTATCGTAACACACCATCAAGAGTAAAACCCGGGTGTCTTCAAGGCCCCAGTGACTAGGTTGCTTATGGGACGACGTGCTCCATGGTAGACCGCATCATCACTTACCACCAGGCGAGATAATGGTCAAACGTCGGCCAATCAAATATAAAAAAACAAACAATAAAAAGATTTTACTCTCATGAGAGAAATAATGATATCTACAGCTTCTACCCAGAAGAGAAAAATAAAATTAAAGCTAAGTATACATAATGTCGCGGAGAACCTAACGGTTAACCGGGGCTCCGGCTCGACGTGCGGAAAAGGAACGGGGTGGTTTTTAGTTAGTAAGAGTCTGACACTCCCTCCCGCCTCACCCAGGCGGGAGAAGTCATTCGATGATTTTCCCCCCTTAAAAAAATATACATAATAATTATTTCATTACGGTAAGTAACTGCTAATTACGAAAAATCCTCTTATGTCTCATCTCAATACAAAAACGAGACAAATTACATACTTAGTTACATTCTACCTCAGGAAAGTCGTTCATAACTCGAGCGGTGACAAGACATCTTTAGGAATTATTGTTGCTACCAGGGACGGATTTAGAGTAAGTATATCCACGACAAGACCATGATTAAAGTGCATTTAGTACCTATCTTTACTTAGAACTTTAACCCGTTGAAATCTATCCCCTAAATTTGGTCATACAAAAGTAGTCTCTAAACATTGGAAATAAAGTATAATATTACTTGGTATAACATTACTTTGTATGATAAACAAATTATTCATACTTACTAGATATTGCTATTACCTGGTTGGTCGAGTGGTCTCAAGTGCAACCTATCAATAAGTTTTGGCTCAGACAAAATATTATTGAGTGTTTCTCAGTTTGTAAAACATTCTTAGCAATAGTATCTACAGAGTCCAGAATTATGCCCGGTATATGGCATCATCTATTAAATGAGACTATGGGATACCTATACAGAGATTTTATAAAAAAAAAACTGTTAATTTTCATTTGCCGCCAAATAGAATTTCAAATCATTTTCAAACAATGATTTGAATTTTCCGAACTATTATCATAGACAAAGTGCTCCAGAGTTTTAAATGGCCAGTAAATTATAACGGACCTCATTTTAAAGCTCTTGTTGTCTATGCTTACTAAAAGGGCTAAAACCCACTAGAAACACATCAGTAACAAAGTTGTGTAGGTACTGGGTACACCCAAAAGTTTTAAAACAGTTTAACAAATTGACTTTGGTTTTACCATTGAAGTGGGGAGAAAATAAAACATGTCTGCATTTAAAATTAATACTAATGTTCTAAGTGTTACATTTTAATTTCTATTGGAATACAGACATTTTGCGATAGCGATGAGGACTTTTTTAATTTTTTTTTTTGTTTTGATGCCTTAAGCCTTTGGTAACATTTTTATTATTTTTTAAGCTGTAAATATTTTAATTTTTTTTTATTGTAGATAAAGATTGCAGATTTTGATTTATAATTAAGTTATTTAACTCGTCGAGTACCGGTTTTATAGACACAATTAAAGAACAATAGGTCGCGGTCACCGGTGACCGCTTGGTGTTTGACAGTTTAAGTTTATTATTTATGAAATTAACAATTAAACATGTAGACATTTAAGTATGTATTGTAGGTAGATACGTACAATTTTCAGTTATACAGGCACTCAATTAGCTGCAGTAAAGCGAATTCAAATTAAATAAGTGTGGGAGAGTCATGTTTCGGCACGAATGGGCCGGTTCGACCGGAGTGATACCACGGCCTCACAGAAAACAGACGTGAAACAACGCTTGCGTTGTGTTTCGTCGTGTGAGCGAGGTTACCGGAGGTCCAATTACCGCCTTCCCCAGTCTCCCCAATCCTCGAGTCCCACACAATCCTCAAACTCCTAATTCCCAAAAGGCCGGTAATGCATTTGTAACGCCTCTGGTGTTTCGGGTGTCCAAAGGCGACGCCGATTGCTTACCATCTGCCCGTTTACCGGCTTATCTCATAATAAAATATATTATTATAGGGTGTACTCATAAAGTAAAAAAAAAACAAATATTTTATTGAATGATTTATTTTATTTTTCGTTTATGGATTAAAAATAACCAATGTCTTATTTTAATCATAAATGACATACTTATAACCACATACAAATCATTGTTATATTAAATTAAATTATTATAACATTAAAAACGTTACAAATACAACACATTCTTAATAAGGAACTTTTATAAAACATAATAATAGGCACATAATGAAATAATGTCCTAAGTCCTTATGAATTTTACGAAATGATCACAAAGCAGGGAGAAGTAGACATAATTGTTAATTCTGACAATTTCTGTACAACTGAAACATATGAATGAATGACATTCTCTTGATATTACAATTTGTTTATGTTATATTTTTACTGTAAAAATTAAACTCGAATTCGACTTGAATCCAATGGTAACATGTTCGTAGGTGAGGTCAATGGCGCGAAAGGAAGTCGACCGGCGAGTTAATTTGCTCTGTATTTCGATAATCCTTAGGGCAATTCGTTTTGTCGTGGGAAAATGGTTAGGTATATGAAATTCACACTGTAAGTTATTTACAGATACTAGCACATCGAGCTATCCTTATTAGTCAAATTTATGAATAGATTTTGTACTTTATTACAAAATAATAAATTTGAAAATTTTATGAAGAAATTCGGGATTGCTTGATGTACTAGTTTGTGAATACATAGAATAGAAAATTGAACAATTCCATAAAGGTCGTCAAAAACAGTTAGAAAACTAGAAAAGGTAGATTGTACTACTGAAGGGTTCGTCTTTCAAAGAAACAAAGTCTTCCTAAGAACAGTTAATTTGTCTGAACTATTACTTAAGCACATTTCAAATCTTTCCCAAAGACTTCGTCAGAGGTAGCCTAGAAAACTTTCATTAACTTAATTAGATTAATTAATCTTTTTGTTCTCAATTTCAAATCTGTATTAATCAGGACACAGCCAGGCTGGAAAACGGGTAGGCGTATTGAACCAAAATGATTGATTGGATGCCAAAATTGGCACCGTCACTTGCTAGAAAAAGGGGCTTTATGGAGCTGGCTTCAAAGGGTTTATTCGAGTTAATTGGCTAACGCATTATCTTTTGAAATTTTATCATCGTGTGCTTGTTTGGAAGATAAATATTGCAGATTTTGATTGTTCTATAAATACACGTGCACGTCATTGGTGAACAGGGTGCGGGGCTGCCGCAACAGAATCCTGAGCGCCTTTGCTGAACATTTTGACTGTCAGTACATAAACCACTGTTGTATGGTTCATGTACTGGCTTATGTGAGATTATTGTTTTGAATTGGGGTATGGGTTATTTTAGTGTTGTTAGTATTTTATATTGTTTGTTATGTGTGTGTAAATTATGTATGATCATAAGTAAGCAATTTAATGAAATAAATGGTTTAATAAAATTAATAATAATAAAGTTGTACATACATACGTCATAGGAGTACAGGCCAAAAATCAGTTAGGTATAAAATTTACCTACGTTACTTATAACAGTTTTACGTATTACAAGGAATGTAATATATCTCAATAAAATCAATAACGATATTATTACCGTATTATATCCAGCTAAAATTTCTAGACCATAACAATACAACAGTTCACAGTTCACTAATAGACATTCTCACTAAAAAGCGACGAACCTAGTCATAACTTAAACCTATATCACAATGAATATTCAAGCAGCATTCTGCAGAACGAAATAATAAGGCGGATGCATTCTGTTGACTCCAACGGTGGCCATACTTGGGGCAGGTCCGTGCCATTCTAGCCTGTATTTGTCCAACACTCTAGTTGTTAGTGACGATAGCATTTTTCCAACTGCGCCGGTACCTGGACAGGCTTCTCCAAAGGGCATAGAGGCTAATGGATGGGCTCTGGAAGCTTTTAAAGGCTCCCAACCTTCACTGCACCATCTTTCTGGAACGAAGGCCTTTGCCCTTCCCCATTGCTTCTCTGATTTGCTTGTAACGCCGTGGGCGAGGACTATATCCACCTGTGGAAGCGAAGGTCTTGTTGTAATACATATGTTTGCAAGTTTAGTTAATAGTGGTTTGAAGAATACGGTTCAAATATTAAGCGCAGGTATTTTAGAACAAATGAGTATTTTCGTTTATGATTAATAGGGATTAGTCCGTTAGTTAGATAACGAAAAAATATTAGACCCATATTTTTTTATTTTGTTATATTAGAAAACAATACTTAGATAAAACTGAGTTAAGTTTAGGAGTGGGAGGTCGTTACGTCACGCTATCCTATAAAATGTAGTAAATCCTGATGTCATACTATATTTGAAATCAATATATCGTCGAAAGTATTTAATTTTGTAAGAAAAGAAAAAATACGTGTCTAATGTTTTAAAATAATCTACCAGACGAACATTAAAATAAAATTTAGGAAACTATCCTATTTTTTACACCGTATCAACACATCAAAGAGACATCTCTATTAGACCAACAGCGTTATTTTACTAGCGCTCTTGAAGCATATAATTGAAACTAAATGACAGAGAGCAGTGTAGAATAAAGTATAACCTCTTTCTAAAGATAAAACAACACAAGAACTGTAGAAACTGTTTTCACAGAGAATACAATGAAAGCAATGAACATTGTATGAATTACTATCGTTCAGCACTCAGTACGATATGCAGATGAACATTTAGTTGAAGTAGGGGAGCTTGCAAAATTAGTTTTATTTATACATAAGTATGAGATGAATGGGTCCTGAACGTAATGTTTCTTTAAAAGGTTTTATAAATGTAGTGGTGCTACTTTATTATTGTTTGATATTAGTGATTAAAAAGTAATGCTATGTTATGGTATGGTACCTTTACAAATTGAGTTTATGACTGGATTTTTAGTTAGTCTATAGCTGAACAGAGGGCTTCGTACGAGATTGTTTTACGTACCTATAAAGTAATCGAAACGAGACCGCGTTCGGAACTGTGATTGGTTGCTTCATTGCAGCTGGCCAATTAGAGCGCCGTACGCGGTCTAGTTTCATTTTTTTTAAATATTAAAAGTTGCCCTACACTTGGATTTTCTCCTGTATCGTGAGTGAACTACAATTTGTGGATCACACAAAGTGTTCGTTGCGGGGATCGAAGCCGCGACACGTTGAACGACAGGCGGTTGCCCAGCCACCGCACCATCCGTGCAGTCAATTACTTTAAACGTAAAAGAAACTCCTACTAAGGCGCCAGATCGGAATGAAGTTTAACATAGGGGTAAACTAAAGCCTTTTAAGACCGGTACAGACCCATAGATAACTATCACCCTTAAAACATAAACAATCTCAGGCCTGACCTATAAAGGAATGAACTTCCACTTAAACAAAAAGGTAACATGACAGGAAACTAAAAAAAAAATCTTACCCCAGCAGGAATTTCATAGCCTCCAACAATGATAGGTTCCTTATTCCTCCTCACTACTCCTCCTGTGGCTGGGTGGAGTCTCATAGCTTCTCTGGCACAGGCAGCTACGTAGGGCAGTTCGGGTGTGTCACACCCAGCCTCCCTGGATGCTATGGACCAGTGCACCTCGTCATGTGCCCTTTGCTGACGAGCCGCGTGTAGAGATAGTTGGTAGAACATGTTCAGAGCTGTTTGGGCGAGCTGGAAAAGAGTTTAATCTGTCAAACACCAAGCGGTCACCGGTGACCGCGACCTATTGTTCTTTAATTGTGTCTATAAAACCGGTACTCGACGAGTTAAGGTTAATATCGTATTTCAGATCATTTTTCGCATCGAGCAAGGTCTTCCAATCCCCCTGATTCAATCTCGGTATTTGCGGGACTACGACTACAATTCCGTGGGAACTCGGTATTTGCGGGGCACGCTTAGGTATTGAAAATATTCATATTAATATAAGGCAAATAAAATAGCAATTAGCTTCCGCATTTATTAATGTAGTCTTCTTACTCAGCGGTGGACTCTCAATGTCTAAACTTTAATTCATTTTATATAAGTATTACTTTCTTGTACTACAAAATGAAAAAAAGGGTAGTAATAAAAGCTCCAACAAGAAAAGAAGAATCGTCCTTACTGAAAATATTAAATATACTGCCTAAAATATTAACTTTCTGACTACTTTACATGACTGTTTATTGCTACAATATTAACCTAACCTAACCTAAAACGTCTGTTGTCGGTGACTTAGTAATTTTGTCGGAGGTTTAATATTCTATTCGGAAGTTTAGTTTTGTTATTTTCGGAACCATTATTATTTTCCAAAAAAAAAAAAAAACGTGTCTAATAAATTTCATTATCTACCTGACGGACTAAATTGATTTTTATTTTCATAGGTTGTCAACATTCGTATCGAGCATTATGAGTCTATATCGACACTAGTTACTGCCGCGCGGTTCCACTCGCTGTTCAGCGCCTATTGATGTGCACCTTCTTCGATAAATAGGCTATCTACATCCAAAAAGAATTTTTCAAACCGGACCGGTAGTTCCTTAGATTAGCGCGTTCAAACAAACAAACAACTTCTTCACCTATATATAATACTAAATACATATAAGATTATATAATAGTATATAAGATTACGAAAAAAATTTCACAATACCCACAACATTACCTTTTATGATTACATTTATATTTATTTTTATTACACACAAATAAAATCGAAGAACAAATAAAAACTTTCGACTGCAACAGACGTTTTTGGTCAGCATGTGTTATTATTGTGAGTCTATTCGCTACAACGTTTGTACTGCACGTCAGTGGCCGCAATCATGCATTAAGAATTATAGGCGGAAGCAATGTCGCTGATGACGAGCTACCATACGTTGCAAGGATACGACTATATCTCCTTCTGAAGTCACAAGGAATTACCATGTATGAAGAAGAAAACCATGTCTGTACTTGCGCTATATTCACACCGATCTGGACGTTGACAGCCGCTCATTGTATACTAGCAGTAGAAGCATCACGTTCAGTTGAACAAGACGGAATTCAGCTGAAATACGAATTTACACTTGGCCACGGTCCTTTGGAGAAAAAATATACGAGCAAAATTGTACAATGGATGAGACATCCTGCGTTTAAGTATTCAGCCTTGCCATTTCGTGGGTTAAATGATATAGGTTTGGTAAAAACTGAAGAGATTGTTCTGACAAAATATGGCCATATTAGTGCTATGGATTACACTAGCTTGCTTGGATTGGAGGCGACTGCGACTGGATACGGGTTGATGAACGTATCGGGAGAGATTAACGACGCGAGTGCTTTCGGAAAACCTTTGCAGAAGCTAGATGTCGTTGTGACTAAATGTGGTCCAATTTTTGAGACGTTACGTCCAAGAATGTGTATAGCGCGGCGTTGTGGCAAAGTGTCAACTATTTGTCCCGGAGACTCAGGTGGACCACTCCTGCATTCATCGGGCATCATTGCTGTTAACAGCGCTGGACTAGCCATAGCATGTAATCCTACAACTGACGCGCGGTTTTTAGATATCGGTGGCCTAACACCTACCAGCCCTTATATTGATTGGATAAGTGATGTAATAAATAAAGACACAACAAATTAATAATATAGATAAACTATAATTTAAGTGAACTTATAAGAATAATTTTCAATAAACTGCGTTTGGAAAAGCGATTTTAATATCCTTTTTAGTCAGTTCAAAATGCCAAAGCAACTTGTTATGAATAGGAAAACAACGTATATTACGAGTGGGAAATAAAAAGTAACGAACAAAGATTCATTACGCTTTTTCCAGTCCCGCAAATCCTAATCCACAAATTCCTAATCTCCAAAAATCCGGTAGCACATTAGTAACGCCTCTGGTGTTCCGGATGTCCATGAGCGACGCCGATTGCTTACCATCAGGTGATCCATCTGCTCGTTTACCTGGTTATCCAAATATCGGTATTCCGGGATCGGATTGGATCCAGCTAAACTATGGACTATGGGTTTCCTCTACATAAGAAAGGTTTGCCATGGATCTGTTACCATATTGTTATTAATTACTTCTATAGTTACCATCTACTAAACGAACTGCTCCAAATTAGTTTAGCACCTAAATAATATTATTCAAATGTTATAGTTGTTTATTTAACTCCAGTTGGCAATGTAGAAGGTAATTATTCTAACAAAATATACTGTAATAGTGTACCACGTTTAGTTTACCTAAATCCCCGAGCTATGACCTAAGTAAACAGAGACCTATATTTGAGCACTATCATCCCTTTTCTGTTTGTAGTCAAAACAATAATGTTCTGATAGGACAAGGTTTTAGATTAATATAGGTTAACTCTAGTTTATGTTTTGTTTTGGTATAAATGTTCTATAAGCAATTTTACTATCTGCAAAGTATTTTTTTTGAAGGGGGAAAATCATCCAATCGCTTCTCTCGTCCGGGTGAGGCGATAGGAAGTGTCAGACTCTTACTGACTAAAAACCAGAGCCCCGGTAACCCGTTAGGTTCTCCGCGACATCTGTATAAGTACCTATAGGTAAATTTTTTTTACGGCTTAGGGCGGTAGACGAAAGGTAAGCAGTTGACGGATGTCCAATTTTATGGCATGCCTCCTATCTTCAAATCTTTCGGTGACGAACTTGATACGTCAGGGTGCAGAAGTTCATGGACGGAGCTGATTGCCTACCATCAGGTGACCGATTTGTTTGTTCGTCGCCCTATTCCTTGAAAAAGTACAATGTCCACTTACAGGGTGAACGCCGGCGAGTAATATATCAGCAGCTAGAGGCAGGATTCGCCTCTGCAATGGTCGCAACTTGTCGAGTAAAACCTGTTCGGGCCTCAACTCTTCGGAGTTGAGGGAGTTCAGTGCCTTCGTCAGGAAATGTTCTGTGAGCCTGTAACAATGAGGTTTTATTAATGTTGGAGCACGTACAATGTTCTTTTATTTAGGAGTACTAGGGAGTGACTGCCTCGTTGGCCGCATGGTCGCAAGTGCGACTGCCGGGAAAGGGGTCTCGGGTTCGATTCCCGGGTCGGGCAAAGTATTACTGGGTTTTTAAAAATTCTCAGTAGTAGCACGGAGTCTGGAATTGTGTCCGGTATATGGCAATAGGCTCACCCCCTATTACATGGGACTCATAACATAAATAGTAAAAAGTGGGTGTTACATTGTACAGTGGCATAATGTGCACCTCTGCCTACCCCTTCGGGGATAAAAGGCGTGATGTTATGTTTATGTGTTTACTAGCTTTTACCCGCGGCTTCGCTCGCGTCACAAAAGGATAAAAAGCCAGTGACATATACCAATACACACAGCGCCATCTATAGCAATACTTTTGTTTTCATTCGGTAATATCAAATTTTTCCGGGATAAAAAGTACCCTATTATTTAATCTGGACTTCTAACTATACATCTGCAAAAATTCATAGCAATCGGTTTAGTAGTTATGGCGTGATAGTGGAACAAACAAACAAACAAACAAACTCACTTTCCGATTTATAATATTATAGTAAGGAAAGGATAGTAAGGATGTAGGGAGTAACATAGGCTACTGGTATTTTTAAAAGACGCAAAGGACTTTGCTGGTTCTGTTATAAAATTCCTGACTTTCGACCTTTGTTCATAACCAAAACACAGGGAAAAATGTAAACATGCACATTAATGTCATTACGAAACACTATCTTATCTGTGCCGCAGATAAATATCCTTGGCATTATGTCGTACCTACATTGGACACAGGATTATGAGTTTTATAGTCCAACTTATCAACATTTTGTAAGTAAACAATGTTGACAATTCGTTAAAACCGGTTTGTGCCGGTTGGATATCTTGATGCATTAAATCGTATGTTGTATCATATAGGAAAATTATTGGTTCCAGAAATGATATGGGGACTTCACTTGATATGCAAATAAAGTACAAGCTGTTGTCCGCTACTTCATCCACTTAGACATATTTTGCTAGTTTTAGAACGTAACTGTTTTTTGTTTCAATATTCTAAAATAAAGAGGGTAGCCCTTGTTACTCCTTACTATTACTCCTTAGTACATCAGCTACCTGCCAATAAAAGTCTTGCAAAATCGGTCCAGCCATTCCAGAGATTAGCCAGTACAAACAGACAGACAGACAAACAGACATTGACTGCACGGTTGGCGCGGTGGCTGGGCAACCAGCTGCCGTGCAACGTGTCGCGGGTTCGATTCCCGCACGGAACAACACTTTGTGTGATCCACAAATTGTTGTTTCGGGTCTGGGTGTGATGTGTATGTGAACTTGTATGTTTGTAAACGCACCCACGATACAGGAGAAAATCCTAGTGTGGGGCAAAAAAAAAGTTGTAAAATAATATGTTATTTTGGTATGTGTATCGTATGTATATTCATATGCATGTAGTAAGAACCGGTTATTTTAATATGACAAACAGTCACTCCAATTTTATTTATCTATAGGTATAGATTGATGTTTTCAGAAAAGATATGAGGACGTCAGTAGATGCATATAGAGTATTATATTATTATCATATCAGAACAAAATTGCATGGCATGGTAGATAAGGGGTTTCAAAATTGCTACTACATAAGAATAATTATTATGTACTTATACCGATAAGAAATATCATGTTAGGTTATTAGAAATAGGCAGATGTTAGGTTCACTTTTTGGTCTGTTCAGTTGTTTTGCAACTGATTGCACAGCTATTTATTATAGTCTAGTCAAAAATCTTATAGGTATATATTCATATGTATTTATACCTAACTAGCAAACTCGGTGAACTCCGTTTCGCCACCAGATGGCTTCGTTTTATGTCATATATAGAAAATAAGTAGCAAGTATGTGACTTCACCATCAGAAGATGGTGTAAAGTTCTTCAATTTTTGAAACTGTCCCATGTAATGTACCTAATAATGCTAACATTATTTAAAAAAGTGTATTTGTAATTTTAAATAGAATAATAGAATATTTGCTAAGTAGAATCTCTACATGTATTATGTTGAAGTGAATACAAAATGCACTTTAATTCCTCTCTATTTTGAAGTGGATTAAGTAATATAGGTACTAAACCCTTATCCTAAGTGTAACAAACACTTTTCTGAAAACCGAATCAAAAATCGGTTCAGCCAATAGCGAGATAATCGCACACGAAGATACATACCTACATACAAAGTAAAATGAGAACCTCTTTATTTTTTTTTCAAGTCGCTTAATAAAGAAGAACCACTTTACAAATCTGTATACTTAAATAAAAATGAAATTCCGTTCGTTAGTCTCGCTAAAACTCGAGAACGGCTGAACTGATTTGGCTAAATTGGGAAGTCCAGGGAAGGCTTAAGCCTTTGACTGCAGACAGAAAACTGCTGAAGGCAAATCCTCCGCTAACGTAGGTCACCGATGACCTACGCGGCGGTTAACGTATTAAAAGGTGAGAAAATCCTTTTTAGGCGGTACGAAGTGTGCTGATGCCGGAATACTGAAACGTTACTCAATTTTAAGTCGTGCTTAAATATCGTGCCATCTCTGTCATTTTACAAAGAACTTGTAGAGACAGAACTATATTTAAGCGCGTACCTGAGTCAGGTAGTTAATAATAAGACTTTATTACGATGAAACTCTATAAATAAGTCTAATGTATAATTTATTTTCTTTGGCTAAACGATTAATGACTTAGTATTATTACTGAGCTAAAAGAAGTTGAAACGACTTCGAATCATGAAGAAACATTCAGTATCCTTAATTAGAAAGATCGTAAAAATTATGGCTTTAAATGGACCATTATTATCTTAACATTAACCAGAATAGTTAAATCGGTTATGAAATAAAGTTAAGGATAAGCCAGGGCCGTCTTAAACAACGCCGGGACCCATGAGCATACAAACATTCAGGGTCCTTGTGGAATGTCTCTTTTTTTAATGTTGCACCACAGGAGGATTTTCTCCTATGTCGTGGGTGCATTTACAAACACAAGTTCACATACACATGACACCCAGAGTCGAAATAACAATTTGTGGATCACACAAAGAGACACCTACTGGTATCTCTTTGTGTGATCTGTGTGATCCAGGATACGCACGGTACTCCGTCCGGAAATCCTGGTGCACGTTGCCGGTTGCTCAGCATCTGAACCAACCGTGCAGTCGTAAAGATTATTTAGTAATCTATGTAGTTTTAGGTTTGTTTTGAGCTCTGAATTTGGTACGTTGTTATAAATTGATGTTTTCAGTTGCTTTGGTTCATATGTTTGTGAGTAAAGATCTCTATAACAGAATTGGGTACCTACTTTTCAAAAATTAATTATTTTGACTGTTCAATACAATATAATATTAAAAAATAATAAATTAATTGATTTTATAACAAACTTAATTTTAGTATCTTTTCAACAAATTTCTAAGAAATAGGTATTCTGTTTGATGCTAAAAAACGTGACGTCACAATACACAATCTCGTACCTACAAAATTCATAGAAAACTGTCGTTTTTGACAGTTCGAAAAAAGTATTGAATCTGACTAGTTGGCAAGTACCCGATTTATTTTATTTTACCTCTTTCCTCGGAAAATTACATGTTATCAGACTAATGACTTTTTTGAAGAGTCAAAGGATTAACGATTAACTTATACATACTTTCTCCAACGTTACTGCACATCAAGGTGCAAAATCCTTTAACAGTGTCGAAACAAAAATGTCTACCAACATTCGACATTTTGTGCACATGTGCTATGCAAATACAACACGTGTATGCTAATCTCGACCACACAATGATCACGATCCTGTCCGATGATATCCACAAAATTAATGCATGTTGATAGCGAAGTCCTCCTTGATGCTAATAGGATTTAATGTTTAATGTATTTAGAGTTTTATTATTGGTAGATAGAGTTTATTGTACTGACAAAAGCAATGATAAAAAGTCATTGTTATCAACATTACTGTAAACAAGCGTTTATTTATTTATAACAACTATCGTGAGACATACTAAATTAACTAAAAATCACGGGTTACTCTATAGGGGGTGAGCCTATTGCCATGTACCGAGCACAATTCCAGACTCCGTGCTACTACTAAGATTAAAAAAAATCCTGTAATACTATGCTCGACCCGGGAATCGATCCCGAGACCCTTTGCCCGGCAGTCGCCGGTCTATCAGCCACTTACGCTTCATCTACATTCAACAACCTCTTCATGCATGCTCGATAATTGAGGGGACTATTGAGTAAAAAAGTTTTAATACTTACGTAAAATGTCTATCAAAGGCTTTTAAAGCACTGTTGAAGGTGGGGTTCTCAGGGTTCAGGGTCCCTTCACTCCTGACCAGGAAGCTGCCATCAGCTATGTCTCGGCTGCATCGCACCAGCCTTTCTGCAGGGGTCAGTTCTTCTAGGGAACGCTTTGCCAACGAACAGAGGTCGTGGATCTCGTCATCCATTGAGGTTTTTTCTGGTTTCCTGTGTAAGATATAGGTACTGGCTTAGGTGGCGTTGTGGTTGAGTGAAATGTTTTAGGGTGATATTAAAGTACTGTTTTTTCTCAACAAGCAGTGACTAAAGGCTATAATGATTTAAGAATTTACAAAACAATTTACATTGTCTATAATAAAAACATATTATGTTGCGTGAGTTAGATAACGGCGATCAGGATTTTAATTAAAAAAGCTTTATTTACTACAAGGTGTTTACTTAACGAATTATCCTACAAAAATATCATACAATTAAAATATTTTAATTAAATAACATAACGCTAAATATGCACTTTAACTTCATGGTATGTTTGCAATTTGATCTGATTCATCAGCAATCGGTTAAGTGGTTACACGAGCTGATCGATTGCTTAATTCGTGGCAATCTAATTCTTCTAAAGTAGTTTAGTACTCAGGTAGGAATTCAAAAGGTCCGGTCTGGTCTCTGGAACAAGTTCTGGAGCATACCAAAACCTAATCCACAGTCAATCAGCTTTATAACTATGAAATTATAGGAACTTACTGGTTATCAGCAGTAGGTATATGCACAGCACCGTCAAGGCATCCCAGTCGAATGCCAAAGATCATCATGCCGATAGTCTCGATGGCCCACCGGTAGATTTCAGTCTCCAATTCTTCGTTCAAAGCGTTTTCTGCGTGACGCAGGTCCCCCAGTCTAGGATGAAATAAGAAAATTGGTTTGTAATTGATTAATGAGGTTTAATTGACAATCAAAAGTGTGTAATAACCCTCAATTAATTAAAAAAAAGAGTAAACGTAGAAAGTGACTACCTCTTATAATTGCATTTTTACATTTTGTTTGAATGTATATACATATACTATCTATATTTTTCACACATACACACACACACACATATATTCAGCAAAATTTATATTATTTATATAATTTCATGTTTATTTTCTGTTCTTATTGAGGGGCGGTACCGCCGTCCGTGAGTCACTGCAGGGTGCCATCTGAAAATCAGCGTTGGGCTGAAACGTCCAACTATATGCTGAGGTGGAGGCCCTTTTGGCATGAGCACGCGCAAATTATTATTTTGTTCTTTGATTTTTTTTGTATATTAAAAATTCTGTTTTATCGTATTTTTATTTTGTTACTACACTGTGATGTTTTTTCGTTCTTATGTCTTTTCTTTTAAGTTTATTATTAGTATTTTGTTTATATATCTGTATTTTTATTTTTTATAATCGTGTGTCTTATTTCTTTCTTTCTTTAATTGTGATGATTTCGAGTGCACGGTTAGCGCGGTGGCTGGGGAACTGGCGATTCCTGCAAAGAACAACTCTTTGTGTGATCCACAGCTTGTTTTTTAGGATCTGGGTGTGCTGTGTATATATGTAAACTTACGTATGTTTGTAAACGCACCCACGATACAGGAGAAAATCCTAGTGTGTGGTACAGTTTAAAAAAAAAATGGTTATACGGGCGAAAGTTATACGTGACAACGACTTTGAGTGGTAAAATAATTTTAATGTGAATATTCATTCGTATAATAGGAAGAAGGATGAAATAATTCACTTTTTATGTCTGTCTGTCTCGCTCTTAGGCGGGCTAACCATGCCCGAGTGGAAGGGACGCGTGCCTCTCACTCGCTCTCATTGCGAGCGCATAACGTGAGCGGAGCGTAACGCAGTTTCTTGAAGTGTCACCCGGCAAACCAATTTATAGGACGTTGTCACGTCAAAAAAATAAGATGTGTTGGTTTGTTTGTAGTTAATTAATGGATGTGAAGATTTGGAATGGATCAAACCAGATCAAATAGTATTGTATTAGTGAGTTATTTTTCTTAAACACTACATATACGTTCCAACAAAGCTTATAGCTTATAGGACGCCTAATGTTAAGCGGTTACCGTAACCGTACTAATGCATTCTAGAAATCATTTCGAGCAATAGATTTATTTCTATAGCTGTATCGTAGTGGCAGGCTTGCAATAATAAAGGCGTGGCAGGACTATAAGACTATTTTCAGAAAAATTAATTGAGCAAATATGTTACGTTACTTAACAGGAAACGCACAAGAATGGGCTTCTAGACGTCAAAATATTTACTTAATAATTTTATTGTGCTAATGTGCGATTATGATGGATAAGTAGGTACTCAGCACGAATTCAAATCTCCTGATGTTAACACAATATCGTAATGTTTGTTGTAACAATTAGTAAGATTGTTGTTGTGATTTTAGACACTGTTCACGACCCAAAAAATTTGTTCTAAAATTGTAGTTTGTCTATTCCTTCTCGTTATTTCGGTGATAATAATATTGCAATAAAGGTTTTTAGGCCTTTTCATCAGATGTGTATCTTCAGAAGAGGGCGATATAATTATGACTTAACTCGCTTCTGCCAACGGCTTCACCTTCGTCCATGTGGAATAAAAAGTATAAGTACTATGTATTATTACATATCATAATCGATACTTTTATCCTCGAAGGGTAGGCAGAGGTGCACATTACCACTGTACAATGTAACACCCACTTTTCACTATTTATGTTGAGTCCCATGTAATAGGGGGAGAGCCTATTGCCATATACCGGGCACAGTTCCAGGCTCCGTGGTACTACTGAGATTTTTTAAAAAACCCAGTAATACTTTGCTCGACCCGGGAATCGAACCCGAGACCCCTTGCCCGGCAGTCGCACTTGCGACCACTCGGCCAATGAGGCAGTCTATATATAATCTAACTAGTGTCGTACTATGTCCAAAATAGTACCAATAAATAATATAATACTGTAACATATATACATATATTAAAATTAAATTGTTTGTCACATTAGTTGTCTCATTTCTCTAGGTCATGCATTCATTTGTACAGTTCATTGATACTGAAGTGAACATATGAATAAAACGACTTATATCACACAACATATTGTTATGCAAATAGTGACTTTATGATTTACAGTAACCTAAGGTTGGTTTTTGCAAATCAAGGTTTTGGTTTTTGTCATATGATTGATCGTAGTAAATTCGACCTAAGTGTGACATAGGAATTTTGTGTTTAATTTTAGTTAGTAGGTATTTGTTCGTTTTTGTTTGGTTGTCTTTTGTTTTTATGCTCTTGTGATTGATGCTGAAGATTTTAAGGATTTAGTTGCAAAAACGAATAACTAAATCGTGCCACGATTTTCTCAAATTAAAGCTTGTTTGTCAAGGGAACCCGTGTCTATTGCCTCTGGGGTCCATATTAGGTTATTTTGCCGAGTCGGGAAAAATTGTATTGTTATCTTAGATTTAGGTAATTGATATGCTTCATACATCTTTAGATAGGACCACTCTCGTAGACTATATACTTACTTTACGATTACAGAAATCGAAGCGAGACCGCGTTCGATGCTCTGATTGGGCGGCTCGAAAGAACGAACCAATCAGGGGCTTAGTGCGTGTTTCTTTTACGTTTAAATAACCGAAACGAAACGGAAAAAGAACGTACTAAGCAGTACAGTGGGCTGTTTAATAAAAGGCTTGATCCACATTCTTGGGACTCATTATTATAACTTTCACCCCTTTTGAGACTTGCAACTTATTATTTACTAGCTTTTACCCGCGGCTTCGCTCGCGTCACAAAAGGATAAAAAGCCAATGTGAGATATACCAATACACACAGCGCCATCTATACCAATACTTTTGTTTTCCCTCGGGAATATCAAATTTTTCCGGGATAAAAAGTAGCCTATTATTTAATCCAGACTTCTAACTTTACGGCTGCAAAAATTCAAAGCAATCGGTTGAGTAGTTACGGCGAGAAGGTGGAACAAACAAACAAACAAACAAACTCACTTTCAGATTTATAATATTAGTAAGGATTATTTATCATTTCATATACACCATACAGCAGACAATATTAGGTATAGGGGACAGAGGATATAGGTATAGAGGACAACACATTACAAGCATGAGGTACATAGGTACCTTAATTGTTACTTGGAAAAGTAAATTCATGGTGAAGATAATGGTGGGTAGTCGATTGGTCTTGTTGTAATTGGTCGAGTGGTCGCAAGTGCGACTGCCGGGCAAGGGGTCTCGGGTTCGATTCCCGGGTCGGGCAAAGTATTACTGGGTTTTTAAAAAAATCTCAGTAGTAGCACGGAGTCTGGAATTGTGCCCGGTATATGGCAATAGGCTCACCCCCTATTACATGGGACTCATAACATAAATAGTGAAAAGTGGGTGTTACATTGTACAGTGGCATAATGTGCACCTCTGTCTACCCTTTCAGGGATAACAGGCGTGATGTTATGTTATAATGTAGCTATGTAGCTTACCTCCTTGTTATATCAGCAGCAATGCCATCGAAGGCTTGATCGTAGCACTTCAGTAGGCTGCCATCTTGTAAGAGCGCGCGAATTGCAGCCCAAATAGCTTTGTTCTCATCTCTGTGAACAATGTGAAATGTATTATTTTTTTATTTCATGGGTATGACCACTATCTAGCCTGGTGGTAAGCGATGATGCGGTCTACGATGGAGCACGTCGTCACATAAGCAACCTATTTGCTCGGGCCTTGAAGACTCCCAGGAAATACAGACTCTGGCTAAGAATTCAAATCTTAGCAGTGCGCATAAGGAAGCTTGATGCGAAGCGCTTCGTGCGTGTGGGTGGGACATCTACCATGAATCGGTAACGCTTCGCCGATTGTCTTGTGGTACGATTATGGAAAGGACTAGGGGAATGAATCGAAGACAAATTACATTATGGACAATCAGGACAATATAATTTGTGTTTTACAAAAATTTAATCAGCGTCATCGACAAATTTTGGGTCGTCTCTACAGTACATGGGTTTACCGTAATCTCCATGCTTGGAGAAGTTCGAGGTTGCACTTTCATATTAGGTTTATGATGTAACGTTACTGCCCGATCTCAGTTAAATATGTAGTCCCTTAGTCATAATCTTATGGCACCCACGGGAAACGCAGAGGGTGACACGGCACAAAAAATAATCACATTCGTAAAACATGTAAAACACTGAGATAGAGTTTTTTATCATGTCATTTCAAACAAGATTATAATATTATATCCAGCGATAAAGGTAGGATATCCTCTACCCACATAGTCTACATCGATACAAATTCGGTAGTGTAATGCACCTCTAATCTGTCGATAAGTAAATGGGTACTTCGCACAATGATCCTATAGTGATGTGGTATTATTTTATCGATGGATATATCCGATTACTTCTCACGCCGTCTCTTCGCGCACAATGCATGGTAGATAAGATTATGTGTATGATTTATGTCATTTGATTATATTTAGGTTATTGAGGGATTAGTGAAATAAAAGCATTAGGTAGTAAGATATGAAAGCATACGTTTAATAATAATACGTTTTTGCATTAGAAAATAAAATATGCATTTAATACAGACTAGATAGGTAACTATTATAGTAATTTCCCCACCTCTCTAAAACCGCGCGAACAACAGAAATTTAATTTTGGAACCGTCATAGAATAAAAAAGTTTTTAAATAAAACGACAGGCGGTTCCAGTTATGCCAGTTTGAAAAATTAAATTTAAAAATCGAACGTACCCGTGTACTGGACAGTGGCCCACAACCTTCCTATGTTGACAAAGCGGGGATTTTTCGAAGCGTGGAGGCTCTGTAGCGTAACTTTCATATACCTGTAACAACAGAAAAAAGGAATAAAAAACTTTGTTAATAAAAATTCGAGGGCCTATGTTTGGTTGGAAACTCTTTTGTTCGTCAGGAATTTGTAATAGACCACAGTGTATATTTGTGTTAGAAACTGTTTTGTTTATGTTTTTGTAGTGTGTGTGTGGTTCACAAAATTGTATTTGAATTAAATTGATTTAATAAAAATAAACGATAATGGTCAATTACTTTTTTAGACTAAATGTAACAGTTGCCGAAGCTCTTGTACTACAACCAGACTCCATTTTACTTTTGAGAATTTTCAAAATAAATCAATACAGTAAAAAGATTTTTATAATACAGCAAGACTGTCTCGTTGGTTGAGTGGTCACAAGTGCGTCTGCTAGGCAAGGCGTCTCGGGATCGATTCGCGGGTCGGGCAAAGTATTACTGAGTTTAAAAAAATATCTCAATAGTAGCACGGAGTCTGGAATTGCACCCGGTATATGGCAATAGGCTCACCCTCTATTACATGGGACTAAAAACCTAAACAGTGACAAGTGGGTGTTACATTATACAGTGGCATTAAGTGTCGAAATGTGCACCTCTGCCTCCCTCCGGGAATAAAAGGCGTGATGTCAAGTTATACAATTCTTTTATAAATATTTGGCACGATTTTATACTCTATTTATTACGCTAATTACGATCAAAGTTCAAATTATAATTTGTATAACTTTCCGAGTCTAGTCTAGCGTATCATTCCTCGAAATAATATCGACGATCCTTGTTGGCTTAGGGTATCAATATAAATATGATGATTTTCAATTAGTAGATTCCTGGAACCCAGGCGATAGGGAGAACATTTTCCTTATCCTTGTACCTAATATGATAAAGTTATTATTACGTGAGACCCTATCACGTTGGACGTTTCTACTAAGATGGAATCTAGTTATAGGAAGGAGAATTTCGTATATATTGGTTACTACTTCCGCGCGGTTTTACACGCTCTGCTCAGCTCCTATTATACGTAGCGTGATGTTTTATATAGCCATCCTCGATAAATGCGCTATCCAACACAAAAAGAATTATTCAAATCAGACTTGTAGTTACGGATATAAGCGCGTTCAAACAAACAAATAAACAAACAAAAAAACACTCTTCCGCTTTATATAATAGTATAAGAGTATAGGATATAAGATGAGACACTATATTTATAAGCGACTTCATTAATTGACTTCAAAATAAATAGGTTCGCAGGTGAACCTTTACGAATGTGTGTGTGAGATTACCTCGTAATTGACTGAACCGATTTTCATGCGGTTTTCCAAAAAGTATTGTTACACTTAAGAGAAGGTTTAAGTATTAACCTCTGGCATGTTGGAGCGTAGATCTACGCGAGACACAATGCGTTTTCTATTGTGTCTTTTTTAAATACCGAAATACAAGAGGTTAATTAAGTACCCGACTTCAAAAAAAAGAGGGAGTTGAAGTCGGTTAATATAAACGTAGTTTTTTAGATTAAATTAATTATTAGGCCAGTACATTATCTATCTGGAGCTGCGGAAGGCCTAGTGGTATACCGGGGCTCGGGCTCGGAGCAGGAGTCGGATTAAACGGGGTGGTTTTTAGTCAGTAAGAGTCTGACATTCTCTCTCGCCTCACTTAAGGCGGGAGAAGCTATTGGATGATTTTTCATCCTCAAGTAAAAGGACACACATCATTTGCGAAGTGCTGAGGATCAAGCGAAGGTATCGAAGAGCGAGCTCAATGGCGTGCTATAGGAGAGGTCTTTTTTTAAGGGGGCAAATCATCGAATGGCTGCTCCCGTCTGGGTGAGGAGGGAGGGAGTGTCAGACTCTTACTGACTAAAAACCACCCCGTTCCTTCTCCTGCACGTCGAGCCGGAGCCCCGGTAACCCGTTAGGTTCTCGGCGACTCCGAATCGGCATCAGCCCTTTTGGGCCCCATCTGTAGTGGTCTGATGGCTCTTTGAGGCGCGCGCGGAACGCGATGCGCCGTACGCTCGGGATTGGAGTGGTCTAAGGCATCTATAGGTGACCACTAACAGCGACGAGGTGGTAATAAGACATGAGATGATTAACAATCATCACCAAATGCGAACTCCTTTGTACTTTAAACACATTACGGTACACAATGAATTTAAGTTTACATAATATGTATATGAAGTATTTATCAGTTTCCTTATTGCTTATTGTAATTGTTCACATAAGTTGTTGAACCGATGCGCGAAGCTACCGTCTGCCATCTGTAACGGTCATACGATCCGAGGTCGTCGCGTCTGCGGTAAAATTTATGTAAACATTGCTTATGAAGCAATGACGTATTGACCTACCTGCAATTTAGAATTTAGATGTATGTAAACTGTACTGTGTAAATACTACAATGCGTAAGGTCAACTAAAAATGAGTTTAGAACAACACTTTAGAATGTTAAGAGCCTATGATTATAAGGTCGGCGTTTAGGAAGCTAGACTTTATTTTCAGCTTAAGATGTTTGTTTTGTTGTCAAAACGTATCTTAGTCTAAAAATACGCTGTTTGTTATGAAAAGAAATCTTAAGTATCATACAGAGGCGTCGTCTATCTTACACAATCGTATTTGTATGTATAAATGTGTGTGTATACATATGTGTTTAAGACCTAGTCTAGTATGAGTCTACGGAAACGTGTTTTTTTTATTGTATGAGATAAGCCGGTAAACGAGCAGACGGATCACGTTATGGTAAGCAATCGGCGCATAGACACCCGGAACACCAGAGGCGTTACAATTGCTTTTGGGGATTAGGAATTTGAGGATCGTTGGAGGTTCAGGGATTGGGGAAATTGGGGGAGGGCGTAAATGAGTCTCCGGTAAACTCACTCATACGACGAATCACGCAAGCGTTGTTTCGCGTCAGTTTTCTGTAAGGCCGTGGTACCACTCTGGTCAAGCCGGTCCATTCGTGCCGAAGCATGGCTCTCCCACAGTTAAAAAAGTTTGTAAAACAAGTGTTTAAGAGTTCTAATTACGTCGTAGTTTAGTAAGAAAATCTACTGAAACATGTAAAGGGTAGGGTAGTTTACTTTCATATACCTACAGCAAGTTAACAAGCAAATATTCTAAACACAAAAGCTTTCTTCAGCAGGGTCTCATTCTCATGTTATTTCAACAACAGTTGTTTAGCTGGGAAGTTGGGCCTTTGTGTGAGTCTACATAAACATTGTATATACGAAACAATGACACATAAATTAAGATAAGTCAACACCAACACTTATTACCGCCGCACGTGGTTGCTGCGTGTTTCGGTAGCCTGTTACACCGTTACGTAATTTTTGTTGTAAATATTTTATTGGCTCGCGTCGCGACGATTATTTTATGTCGCGTTTTCGCTGATAATGTGTGTGTGTGTTACAAGTGTGGATTTTATCTCAATGTGTGTATTGTGGCACGGTGTTTACTATAAAGGTTTTGTTAATGAGTATTTGTTGCATAGTAAGATAGTAAAGCGTCATGGTTAATGAATATCTGCTGTGTTGGATTTTGGAGTTTTCAACGCTTCAGCTGTTATTGACTGGGTAGTTATGATTTTTTTTATTTAAAAAACTGAAGAAGATAATTGTGTAATTTATCGCTTTTAGTAAAAAAATGAAAACTGAATGACAAAGAATTTTTTATTATTCTTTTATTTTTAGGAATCTTTTAACTATTCATCTTATAGTCTGTTGTGTGTGTTGTTTTATCCTTGTAATAATGTGTATAACAATGTGATGTAATCAAACACTTAGTAGATAATTAATTGATCAATGCAAAAATCATATTAATATGCAGGCTGATTGCAGCTTAGCATTATATATAACTTAAACAAAAGTCACGTGCATTCAAATCATCTCAAAAATTGTGAATACAAAAAATGTTATCGCTGTGAACAATTTGCAATTCAACGAGGTTACATTTTATCATTAAAATGTGACCCACATTATCGGTCACACACAAACATAATATAGTCGTAAAATTGTATTTATTAATATTGTGCACGGTGTGACAGAGTGACTCTGTGTAAATATAAACAAACCGTTATAGGCTTTACTTTATTTTGATGGATATATTCACTTTATATGTTTATTATTGGGATGATACGATTTTCGGTGAGAATGGATGTTGTGCTTGCAAATGGCGGTATAGGTACAACTAAGACGTAAATTATTACTACTAGTACACTATTATCGTCTCCTCAGTAAAAAAGTAGATAATCCGACTACCTAGCACGGTTGGGGTTAATGGGAGTTCCTAAACGATATCTAGAGCCTGGTGATGGCACAGAGGGACCGCGTAGGCGGAGGAAATCTTTTGCTGTGCCAGCAGGCGTGCGCACAGAGCGAGGTGCTGCAGCACCAACGGCAAGAGCGATGGGTTTCTTGAACTCGATGATAGCTCAGCACCCAGATTTGATATGTTCCACGATAAGTCGTATGTCATACGGAAATTAATGTATAAGATTTTAAATTTTAATAATATAGGAACTGTCTAAGTTATTTATATTGTAATAGGTTTAAGTTTCTTTTTTGTATCCTAGAATCTAAGTACTTTGGCTCTCGCTGTAAACTTTCATTTTATTGTAAATAAATAAATAAAACTCAGTAACTATTGCTGTCAAATAGACGAGTCTTCTTGCCTCGAAATACCTAAGAAAGAAAATGAACATATTCAGATTAAGCAGTCTAAATCTGAATATGACTCATAACTTGTTCATTAAAAATATTAATAAAACTATACATTCGAATAGGAATTTAAGTAAAAAATGTGAAGAAATTGTGTTCATTGCTCGATGTCGATCGTCGCGCTTATCTGACAATGCAATATAATCTGATGTTGATCTATTAAAAATGTATGTCAGCGGATTCAGACATAAAGGTACATTGGTCCTGTAAAATTAGACTGCATTTTTGCCACACTACATAATGCATAATAGACGATTGATTCATTAATTGACCATCCCCACCTTGTATGCATTCCTAACTATTATGTGACTC